CTTAGGGGCACATCTAAGACATGTCTATGTTACGAGAGAGTTGATTCAATCTTAGAAGGTTATACAAATATTAACATGACTAGAGATCTTAATAGTAGAAAATCTACATCAGGATACATATACACTTTTGCAGGGGAAATTGTATCTTGACAACAAGATTGCAAAAGTGTGTTGTTTTATCCACAATAAAGGCATAGTATATATAGCAGCAGCTGAAGTTAGAAAAGGAATATTATGATTGAAGTGTTTTGTTAAAGACCTTATGATCAAACAAAATGAGTACATTATATATTGTGATAACCAAAGTACTTTGAATTTGAGTAAAGATTCAATTTATCATTTTTATAATGGATCAACAAAGAGTTGAGTTTGGTGAAAATTTACAATGATAAATATGTAAAATAGTAGTGTCATATATGAGAGAATTTTATAATAAATTTTTAATGATAGAATTCATTATTTTTTCTCAATTTTATTTATTTATTATTCTATTTTCTCAACAGGAACTTCAGATGTTGTGTTGGCATATGCACTGTGTTAAATTCAGAGTTCCACTTTTGGCAAGTGGGTTACTTTAACTTTTGGAATCGGATTTATAGCTGTTTTTAGTGGGATGAAGCTAACGGGTTCTAATAAAAAGAAAGAAGCCACATAAGGAAAGAGAGAAAAAAAGCAGCAAAATGCTCATAAAACTTTGTGAATGATGCCCAAAATAATAAGTTCCAGGGCTCCTAAATTAGACCAGGTTTCTTTTTTAAAATTCTCTCTCTCTCTCTCTCTCTCTCTCTCTCTCTCTATATATATATATATATATATATATATATCACAATTTATTTTGAATTTAAAATTTTTATTTTTATTTAACTTTTTAAAAAAAATTAATTTAATTTAATAATTACCATACAATGCCAAAAAAATTAATCAATTATTTAATAAATTTTAAAATGTACATGGAATAAAAAGTAAGAACTGAAGACTATAAACAAGTTTCAATTATACGTTACATGAAAATTATTATCAATAGCTCTATTATAATTTTATATTAGATTAAATCATTATTTGATAAAATGTTTATTTATATAAATTTTATATCTATCTAAAATAATTAAAAAAATTAATTTATTAAAAACTTAAATTAAGATTTCAATTAAAACAGTAATTTATTATAATAATTTTAGATTTAGAGGTTAAATTTGTCCGTTCACATGAACTTTTTATTAATATTAATGTGTTCTAAGATTTTTTAGATTTCCTGTCACTTTAATCTTTATAATTCTGAAATAAATAAATAATATTTTTAAAGATTATTAACTAAAATTTTAATATATTAATTTAATATGTTCAAATATACTAATACTAATAAATATATTTTTACTAAGTAATAAAAAAATCAAAAATAGAAATTCTTCAAACTATAAACTGATTATACCAATTTATAATAAAAAATTTAAAAGTTTATATCACTAATAAAAAATAATTCTAAATCATTATATATATCAACTGAAACTAATTTTGTTTATCTAACACTTCTTTATTTAGATTGACCGAGTAGAGATAAAATTAAAGATGAAATGTTTTGAGACAACTTAATTGTATCTTTAAAATTCATCTCTAGTACGTTCTTTTTTATATATTCTCAAAATCAGAGACAAAGTGCACTAAATATAAACAATATCCCCCTCAAATATATTAAATGTTTATTTTTTTTTGTTTTTAAATGTTTATTTTATTTTAACTTATAATTTTGTCTCTGTATTATAAAATCTGTCTTTAATTTCATCTTTAATAAAGATACAAATATTTTTGTCTCTAAATAACATTTTCGAGTATTAATATTTATTCAACAAAATTCAAATTTTATTTTAATAAATAATTTGTATTTAAATGTTAGAGCATATTATTAAATTAAACTTTTAAGTTTTATACTCCATTAAAAATTAATTATTGCCTTTTTTAACATGTTTTTCAATTAAAAGATATTTTTAAAAAATATCAAACAAATGGATCTTAAATCTCATTAATAAACCAATAATTAAATTATACGATTGTTGTGATAGAATAAAAAAATAAATAAATTAGGCAACGAGTCAGTCAATGTAGCATATATTCAAAGACACTTAAAAAAATTTGTATTACATAATAGATGAGTAAGATAGAAGTGTCTATCTTTTTAACTTTTTAAAATTTCACATATTCATAACTTATCGCAACAATTCATAACTTATATTACATCAAACTTGTAAAAGCTAAACAATTTTAACTTACTACTATTTTACTACTTACATAATCTTTATTAAAACGAAAGACTTTTCTCTTTAGTTCTTTGAACTATGTACCATCCTTCACATCATTAAAAGTAATATTATATCTGTCATATAACGTAATATTAACAAACTATTTAATTGATTTTAATAAAGAGTATAACATAATAATAGTTTGGTCGTTATCATTAATTTTAACTCTGAAGATCTAAAATAATTTGGTTAAAATTGTCAAGACAATCACTAATATGTTCTTTTTGTTAAAGTAACAAACAATTGTTCTTTAATGTCTAAGGCTGCCCAAAATTGTTTTCATATTTCATTTTCACATAGTGAAATCACTTGATACATTAAATTTTTCAATATCAAATTTATATGAAGACATTGTGATCATCAAAATTGACCATAAAAAAAATGATAATTTTGATATCAATTATTATAAGTAATAAGAAGAAGTGGAATACACAGATATGAATATGGTTTAATCAATGTTTATGTCTAAAAGCAATTTGAGAGAAATTTTTATTACTATAATTTGTGAATACAATACACTACTCACTACATTAGGAAAAAAAATATTTTTTTTTTCACTTTTTCAATGCTCGTGTGTAATCTCATAACTTACCCTGACTACCTATACTCTCTTTTATTACTCATCATTAATAATGGTTCAAATTCAAGAGATAACAAAAAAAAATCGAATCATAAAGTGGACAAATACTTTAATCGCTAAATTTGAGAAAGAAGAATATTTCTTTAAACTCAACAAGCAATCTTATAATTATCCTTGATTTAATAAAAAAAAATCCCGTCGCCTTATTAAATTATTTGAAGATATTTGAATTTATATTTACTGACTTAAAAGGAATATTATACGATAGAATAAAAGAAATATTCTAATAAAATAATGTTTGGTGAGCATTCTAAGAGGTGTTTATACTCGGTGAGAAAGAGGAATAAAAAAGAAAAAAATAATAGAAATACAGATAATGTGATATGATAACAAAAAGACAGAAGAAGTGTTGAACTAGTGTTGATCCTTACACTTTGTATCCTTGTAGAGCTACAGTCACATTGTTGGTGGTAGAGCTGAAAGATATAATCTGCAAGGATCAAAAGATTGGATGTGTTTTTTTGGTCAATAAAAGCTTGGATTTGAGTCCAAGAAGAGGTAGTTGTCATTTGTTTGGAACACCTTCAACCCCACTAACATTTGTTTTGTGGTTCAACTAAAAAACGTTGTTTGTCTTCTATTTCTTTCGACACATTCTAAATGTTGCTATATATAAGTATCCCGCAAATGATTTATAGAACGCACGCTCAAAAAATTGGAAGATACGAATACCAACAAACAGAGTTAATATTGTCACTTAAAAAGATGCTAGAGTATTATATAGTTGACACTGATTACCATTTTCCAAAGAAAATTGATTCATTGACACCAATTTTTTTCACACCCTTTCACACATCAAATATCACAATAACGAAGGAAGAAGAAAAAATAAAAAATAAAAAATAAAAATGCTTTTGACAGAGTATATAACAAGCGGAAATAAAAACAATTTATGTAAAAATATCAAGTACATTCTTTTAAAAACTAAAATTTATAAGATGACATAATACCATGGAGTAAATTTTCTATATTTATATAATACATACTACTTTACTTTTATTTTTTATTTTAAAAAACTAAATTAACAACCACTTCTAACCATGAACCCGAACAAAACTAGCAAGCACTAATAACCAATGCTTGGTATCAGTACAAGTTTTATTATGTGATATAACGGAGCTTCCGCAGTTATTTTAAAATAGCACAAGAGCTTGTCCCTTTAATATATTTAATTACATACCAAATTTAAGAAAAATACTAATCAGTGCCATAGAGAACTAGTTAAAGAATTTTAATATATATATATATATATACTTAAACTGGTATAAGTCTAAAAATTATTAGACTCAATCTGAACTTTTTATTTAACTTACATCCAACCATTAATAAAGTAGTAAACTATAACCTGTTAAATAAAAAATTCAGATTAGATATAAGAATTTTTACTTGCACCGTGTGTGTAGTTGAAAAGCATTAAAAATGCACTTAATTTTTTATGTATTTTAATGTATTCTAACAATTTCTGATATATTGACTGTTCAACGAGTGCCGCATTGGTTAACAACCCCCTAAATTTATTCTTGAAATTATCATTTCACTATATTGAATAAATGGATGATGGACTCTACACGCACAAGGGATCCTTATCCATGAATCTCTACATATACCCTGCCTTCATGAAAACACGATGATTCTTAGCCTATGGTGCAAGGCCAAACTTCCACCTGATGTGCTATACGTTTGAGGGACTGTAATTTAACTCTAATTACAAGTAACTCAATGCCGCTGGAAAAATGTTCTCTACTTGTGTGCGTATGATCGAAGTTCGGGTTTCTGAGTGAAAAGTAACAAGAAATTGTATTAAAGAATAACAATGCAAAGCCCGGAGTGTGGAAGAATATAGACAAAGAAATTCACAGGCTATAATTTTTTTTCACTAGCAGAATTCAATACCACGTTTGACTAAGATAGTAGAATGAAGAACCAAAAGACAGTAAATGTAACAATAGCTGAAAAATAGGTATCTCCAATAATTGGTCAAATTGAGATTGCAATAGATAGCATAACAACATCTACCTGAAATGGCCACAGGAGTGACATTAATAAATTATTTTTAACAACCAGGAAGCCGTAATCTTGGGTAGCACATACGATCATATACACGCATTTATTTATGTACAATAAATATATATATATTAACAGCTTGATATAGAAGAACACAATAACACATCATGATCAGCAAATGATTTAAGGAACAAGGGAGAAAACAAACAACCCTAGAACCTTGCATACTTCGAAACAAACTAATATTCTTGGAGAAATCGATCTTCATTTTGCTGAAATAAATGCAGGAAGATTTCCCTTGCGTGAGATATAAGCAGAGAGATGCCATCACTTCTTAACCTGAAAATTTCCATGCTAAGCTAACTTATGTCTATGCAATCTGAAATAATTCTAACCATTGCACCGAGACAAAAAGTAAATGGTAAGAGCTCATATGGCGTGGAAAATTTTGAACATAAAATATTTTCATCCCTAAGTGGATTACATTTACTGGTTTCATACGATAAAATTTTGCAGGGAGACATCTAATAAAGGAATATAGAAAAAATATACAGGTGATCAATTCTAAGCAAAAAACTTCATTCCAGTTATTTACATCAATGAAAACTTAACTATTTTAAAAGATTTAAAATATTAGTAGGAGGATAGCTTCTCCGGAACCAAACCCACATTTACAAGATGAACAACATGTCTTCCATCTGTTTGTTTTCTTTAAAATTACTCTTCCAAAAGTTTTCTTTAATGTTTGATATTTAGGCTCCTCATTTCAGTGCATGTTTCTTATCTATTTAAGATACTATCTTTTTTTGTATACTGGGACTTGGCCATTGCTATCTTTCTCATAGATCCAATATTATCTTAGCTATTACTTGTTCGTCAATATTATTAGAATTTGAGTATAAGTCCGATCTAAGAGTATGGGAGAGAGCGGACTTGAACATATTTGTCTAAAAAGTGTTGATAATTTAAACTCATGGCCCTCTTCCTTATATACCCTTCAACTTATTGCTAACCCACTAATGTAGGCTTTTGTTATCACAGTCTGAAGGTCTGAATGATTTTAAAATCTTACTTTGTTCTCCAAATCTGATTCTGCAAGCAGGCTTCGGCCCTGGGAATCAGACTCTTGTTCAAGTTCCCTGCAGGAGAGATGTGACCACCATAAAATCATATATACCAAAACAAAATCATGCATAAATTGAATCTAATAATATTGACCAAAAAGCCAATCAAAACAGAGGTATCATATGAATAACAATAATAATATTGAAAAGTTACCTTTCAGTTATGATCATTTGTTGATGAGACAAAGATGTGCTCAACCCAGGAGCAGCAGAATCAGAAACTTCTGACCTTGTGGGTTCATGTTCGCTCATTCCCTGCAAAGAGGTTTGCTTCAATTCCACTACTCATGTAACAATAGTTAACAACTTAGGCAATACCATAGGTGTTTTTGGTGTTGTTGTCCAATTAAAATTAGAATTTTACCTAAAAAATGCATAGCACCTTTAATGTCAACCTTTATGGCATGGATTACCAATGTAAAATTCTAATTTTAATTCGAGAACAGCATAAAAAACACCTATAATGCTGCAACTACGTTTTTTCCTACAATATATTATAACACTATGTATCAGCAACAGCATAAACTCACAGTAGAATTATCTTTCATCCATCCAGGGACTTTATCCGAAAGAAGGCTGATATACTGCTCCATTGCAACCTCTGGACTCATGTTCCCCAGTTTTTGCCAAGCATTCCTTGAACAACGGAATCAGTACTGTGGATCACTCATACAAAGCAGCTCTCAACCCTGTTATTGTAACTAGCAATCAAGCTATACCTTGTAACTAGTACAGCACCATCGCATGTGTTGTTGTTTACACTTATTTAACAAGTTAGATAGTTTGACACATTTTTTCCCTCTTGAATGATAATCCATGCATCTTTTATGTTAGCAAGACAAAGATAGTTTTACAATTCATCTCGGTGACAGGTTCATTATCTGTACAAATTTCGTGGATACTACGTCTTGGAGAAAGCCTAATGCATGAGAACAACCTAGAGACTATTTTTGCTAACATCACAGCCAAAGTGCTATTTGTGGATATCCTTTATTTCACACTTACAAAAAGGTTTAGTTCGTAAGGTTATTGTTACAATAGAAAGATTTTATCAGAAAAAAATATTATTATATCAAAATTTTAAAAAAATTATTGTACTTGTTTTTAGAAATAAGGGTTCTGTATTGTTAATGAGAATTCTCCAAGTATTAGTTAAAAAATTAACAAATATTTTTTTTTAAATTATGGTAGAGACACAATGTAGCATTAAATATTATATTTTTCATTTAAAAATTAGTTTTTATTGCTTAATTAGTGTTTTAAAATTTTAAATTGATTAGGATTCTCTTATAAATAATTAAAAACAACTCACAAGGACTATTATTAACAAAAAAAAAAATCCATCTTTTTTTTAGCCTAAACATATTTTTAGCAGTGACTGGACTAATTTCCAAATTTACAGTTTAATACTAATTTCCATGCCTCCTCCATTGTTAAATATAATGGAAATAATAAAGCATTTTTTAATAAAGAAAGTAAAACTCTATGACTAATAATGGCAATGCCCTCATAGCCGGGTCACCCAAATCCTTATAATTGCTTCAAAAAAAACCACAAAGGTAGAGTAAAGAACAAGGTAACGCAAGTTAGGGAATTCAATTCAACAAAGCATACATAATAAGAAGCATAAATTGGCAACTCTACAAAAAGGCAGTTAGAAATTGATACCACTTGGCACGTGCAGAGAGTTTGAGAGGCATTGGTTGAGGTTCACGGCAAGGCCCTTCAGTAGCAACTTTGTGAAGGCCATACAACTCCATTTGCACATTGCTTCCAACACTCCCCAACCCATTTTCCTCTCCAACAAATTCCGTAGCCGCCACAAACACCTTTTCCAACTCACTCCTCTCAATCCCTTCCCAATCATCGTCATCATCATCGTCGTCGTCGTCGTCGTCGGCATTATCTTTCATGCCACTCTCTACAACGGAAACCTCCATCTCAATGGACGGTTCTACGCAGATTTCGTCAACGCTCCTTGCGTTCCTCTGTTCCGAAGAACCGTCAAACTCCTGTGTTCCTTCATCGGGCTCAGCGACTTTCTCTTTAACGGCAATGGCTGGGTCTGACTTCACCGGAGACACGACAACAACGTTGGCATCAGATTCAACCGTGTCGTGTTCTATGTTGTGTTCAGCTGCTATATACGTTGCAACTCGAACCGGACTAATAAAATCGACCCTGCTCTCGCTCGGAGCGGTCTGAACCGTCAACTTTTCCCCAAGAAGAACCGGACCAACCGGTTCGTCGTGCGCATGATGTTTTGTCGCGGAGTGGGTGTCGGTCATGGCCAAGGAAACAAGTTTTGCAACAAGGAAGGACAGAAGAATCGCCAGAGAAGCGGTCACAAAAAGATCACTCGCGGTTACAAGCTCCATCATGTTTTTTCTTTTTTCTTTCTTGTTGTGTGTGTGTGGGAAATATCAAGTGATGCTGAGGAAAGGTTTAAGCAAAGGATTAGGGTTGGAATTATAGGGTGGCTGGTTTAGAAAAAGAGAAAACAAAAATTAATGAGAGAATTTAGGAAGGAAATGATAAAGAGGAAGAGATGAGCGAAGAAAAGAGGAAAGGATAATCTGCGCAGCGGAGCAAAGCATATTCCGCGGTCATTTTACTTTATGCTTTGGCTATCCAATTTTGTATATGACAAAAATGAAAAATCTATAATTTTTCGTTTTTTGGGGGTAACTTTTTGGGTTTGGGTAGGGTAGCGTGGGTCCAATTGTAGCGGAGATAACGGTGAAAGGGTCACCAACGTGTGTTACAGAAAAGCGCAAAAAAGATGCATATTCATGACCACGTCGACCTTGCTGACTCACCATGATCGTTATCCGGCTCCAACAACACCCACGAGTATAGGTCTTTTTCACCACCATTATCACATGTTTAGGTTTACTCTTTTATTATTATCAACATTTACTGTGTTGTTGATCAATTGACATAATAGTTTGATATACTACAAGATACCACACAATGTAAACTCGGTTTTAAACAACTCCGTGTAATTTGTGGCAAATGAAATGGCTAATGCTAAAACAGCAATGCCACATGTTAAGAAACTTTTCTGTACAAACTGCACGAATTGCCACTTGTCTAGTTGTTTATATATGAGTAATTAAATAATCAAATAACAAAAATAGAAATTTCGGGGATTAGACAGAAATCATGAACACGGTTCTCGTTGCCTTTTCATATGTTTTCATTCGTATCGATTGGCATTTTCCATGCTAAAATTTAAGCTTTAGCCAATAATTTTGGTAAAATAGTTTACGTGTATACAGCTCATTAAACATCTCCGTTTGACCATTACTTGTCAAATCTTACTATGCGAAAATCCACGATGCAACGTCATCCACAAAAAATAAGATCTTGGATTGTTTGACGATTGGTTTGGTCAAATTCTGGGAGATTAAAATAGCATTTTGAATGTTGTTTAAAAGAAAAAGAATTAGGATCACTGCAAGTAATAAAAGCGTTCCTCAAGCACGCAAGTTGGAACTTGAAAGACCTGGCTAAAGAATAATGCCACTTTCGATAGGCTGCATTAACATCTATTCCAAGCAACCACTAGGCTCAATATTAGATGAACAGCAAAATTAAACACCGATGGAGCAAGGTGTGAAGTTGTGTTAGTAGCATCACTGTAGTTAAGAGCCTGCCCAGTAAGAGGTTTATGTTTAATTGCACTAGTATCCAAAATTGCCATGAGTATATAAAAAGAATTCATACAATGGATCCAAGTTCAAATTTAACAGGTTAACTATCAAAACTGGCGATTTCCGACATGAGGAAACATTTCAATTTCAGCCGGTAAGGGTAAGATAATAAGCTCAGCTATAAAAATTAGAAGACCAAGATCACCCAATACTTTGTGTAACCTTATTCAACTGTAGCACCAGAATGAATTTTCTCATACAAGCGATGTATGAGTGGTGATTTAGACATCTGGAATTCCCTCTCCAGAACTGCAATCACATCCTTAACAGAGATGCTTCGAGCTACCCTAGTTTGAGGTGCAAAGGCATGATTTATCCCAAGTTTTCTAGCAGCCACTGTTGCAAGAATAAAACAAACCAAACAGCTATGAAAAAGTAGCACAACCAATGAAAAAAAAGTAGAAATTAAATTGATTCAAACCAAAAACCAACATCGCATTTCTGTAACTCCTTATAGAATGTTATTTGAAGCCAATTGTTGGCAACATTAATAAAACAGTATTCTACACATGATACAGTCAGAAGCATGATACAGTCCCGTCGGCTACAAAGAAGTATGAAGAGGACGATATCTACATTTAGATATTCAAGGGAACATTTTCAAGAAAAAATACAATATACTAAGCAAAACATATTAGCTTTTATTTGTTCTGTGAGATATTTTGAGAGTAAACTTCCTTCTACTATCTCCTAATTTTTTTATCCATAAATTACGATGTAGCATTGTGGATGTCAGGTTGGTGAATGACTATCTAAAATTGATTGCAATCTTGCAGTTGAATTATTTGACAACGGAAATGACACGAAAACAGCTTAAAACAAACTAACCTGAAGTTGCAAAATTGGTTGGGTTTTTATTCTCCCCTTCTTGATTATCCTTCATACTTCTTCCAGATGTTGGTAAAGATTTGCGGTTAACATCTTTATCTGTTTGAGAACCAGATGATATGTCCATCCCCCCTTCCCGTTTCTGCTTGGCTTGCTCAGCCATAAGTTGCCACTTTGACAGCATGTCATCTCCCCCATAAGCAGCACGGGCAGCAACATTTGCAGCATTTGTCCTTATCTTGTCATCCTCTTCCTTGTTCACCTGCAGCATATCATAAATCAAAGAAAAGATTTGATAGAGGTGAAATATAAGAATGATATATAAATACCTTGATCAATTTAGTACGACCCTCATCCTTCTCCTTGTCACCATCAACTCCAGCATTGCCATCAACCTATATTTAAAAATATAATTTTAGATGATAAACAATAATCTTGTCAGTAACTCACAAAATCCCAGTATTTGGAACTCACATCATTAAGTTTCCGAATCTTCTCTGCTTCAGCCTGTTTTTTCTCCCACTCTTCCCTTACTTTCCTATTTATTGTCATGATTTGCTGTTGAACATCTGAGGTGACAACAGTCTGATGTCTTGTTTTCTCAAAATCAACCCTCTAGTCGGAAATTTCTTGTATAAATTTTTATACAGATATAAAAATATGATTTAGTTTAAGCAGCTAGAGAAAAAAGCAGACCTGTTTTGATATTCTAATCAGGTCACTTATCAGTCCACGCATCCTTTCCTCCACACACTGAACATTTACTTTCAGTCATAAGATTAAATGCAAACCTAATCCAATGTAAAGTGAAAATTTGCATGAACCTCACCAGTGACAAGCATCGCTCCACATCATTGCTCATACCCTTCAAGCCACACTTGGCCACTGCCAGATTAACCATGTAAAGCAGCTGTAAGGATTTGTAGGCCTAGTACATATCCCGATAAGCTCAAAAGGAAAGAACTAAATCAGATGGACAGAGGTATGACATGAATAGAACACTAACTAATGTCAATCAATTTTTTTTGCAATGGAACTTTCTGCAAAATCAGCCTTTCCTCCTCTTCTTGCACAGCTTTTCGAGAAGCTTCTGACACACGACTTTCTTCTTTGGGACCTGAAAATAAATGTTCTTCCTCTTCCTGTAAAGGAAAGAAACGTTAGGAAACGGCTTCAGATTTTGAAACACAGAGAGTAAACATTCCCTACTTATTGAGCCATCTAGCTTGGTTCAACATGACACAGTAACATACCCTAAGATCAACTCCACTAACAGCAGTGACATCGTTAAGCTGTTCGATGCTTTGTTCAGTAGATCCTCCAGATGTTTTTTGTTTTTTACTGTAGGATAACGGCACATATGTATATATCAGAGTGAGTAAAAGAATAAGAAGTTAAACCATAAATAAGGAAATCATGATCCAGTAGAGTAAGACATGTATTACCTCGGAGGAGGAGGTGAGGAACCAAGTGCTTCAAGTGGTTTCTTTTGGGCAAGAGCAGGCTTTTTAAGAGGTGTCCTTGCAACAATTCCAGAAGCATTTGATGACATCTGAGAGCATAGCTGATCAAATTCAGAAGTGGGGCTAAGAAAATTAGGCAACAATATATCTGAAAATATCATTACAATCATGGGGCACACTCTCTGCACAGAATGATATTTTGATATTTATGAAAAGAAATGCATAGAAAAGAAAGATGAAGTCCGTATTTCCCAATCATCAGTTCTAATAAACAAAAAGGTAGGAGCCAAAGAACATGAAACCAAAAATAAGAACAATGTAATGTGCTTGTTATTTTTCATTGCAGCTTGCAATACATCCTCGATTTACCTCGTAATCTTGCATAAGAAAACTGGCAGATCAAAGGTTACTTATTCACACACATGTCAAGAAAGAGCAATATTGCAAACAATAGGTTCAAGAGTCAAAATTCAATGCTAGTTAAATTGGGAATTCAAGTAAGAAGGGAAGAAAATGAGCCAAGCAACTTACAAGTGGCACCATGACTCAACTCAATTTTGGTTCAATAAGTTGAGCTCATGAGCAAATAAATTGAGCATGAGCTAGAGTATGTGGCTCATTTAAAATATGAGCTAAGCATGAACCACTTAGTGCTCATCTCATTTGTTCATGAACCAGCATAATGTACATATCTTCAAAACTTATACTTTCTCGGGTCTGTTTCATAAGAATTTTTTCAGATTTTTGTTGGTCCTTAATATAAGACTAAGTTTTTAAAAAGTTTAAAGAACATTTATTATTTTTTACATATTTGTTTTTCATTATTGAACTTTTTTAACCTTTTAACAATTAATGCAATGATAAAATTTGACTTTAATAAATGGTAAACTTGAAATGCTACAATTATTTTTTCAAAAATTAATCCATTAACTATTTTTAACAACTTTTCTTGAGCCTGAAGTGTGAACAATGCACAATCACACCCTACCTAGTCACTTGATCATAATTCATAAAGGATTTAATACCATGGCATGAACCAACTATTTCAAAATCTAAAGTTGTTGGGTGAAAGCACGTGATTGATTTTAAAATCCAACAATATTAAATATTATTTTTTTATTCATGAGTGTTGGTTGCAATAAGGTAATATATTATATATATTGAAAAAAATTTATGCAATCCAGAAGTCCTTCAAAACCAATTTGGCTCATTAAATGTTATAGGTTCACTAGTCTTAACCCAGTTGAGCTCATTGAGCCAGCTCAAGTAGCTCTTAACTCTAACTTCAGCCAAGACCATGAACTGAGTGAAAAAGAATTAGTAGAGCTTGAGCTTGTCTTATCTCAGGTTGAAATATTTAGTCATTTTCCATCCTACATGCACAGACAATGTATCTTCCAAAAACATCAATTTTAGTGCTGTCTTCCAGACAAAAGAACCATCAGCAGATAAGTAACATAAACTGAAGCCCAAATGAACACCACCACCTATAAAAGTGAATTATTAAAACACCTCTAGGATGAAACTAATGAAATTAACTAAAAGCTTCCTAATCCTAACAAATCTTAACTTACTATTGAGTAAAGATCAAAAGCACCCACAATTGTAGTTAATTAACACAAAAAAAACAAAAAGTAGGGTGAGATTTGATCTTTAAAGCTGTTTTGCTCAACACTGGTACATCCTGAGTCAATTTATTGATGCCACTAAGAGTCTAAAAAAGCAGTTTGAATTTTGAAGTGCAAGAAAAACTCGGGCTTCACCCTTTATAGAGGTGTTATATTATATCTACAACTTACATGAAGAATATAGTTGCATTATATGTGTACTAGTCACAATTTATAAGAAAGGAAAATGCAGAATGGAGATGATTTTTATCACAGTTCTTCTTTTCTTATCATTAAGTGTGATTTAAAAATTGGGGTTTCAGTTTTTCCGGATGGGGATTTCAATCTTTGTTTCATAGGGATACTCCGAGCCCACTTTATAATCAGTTTGGTTATTAGTATTACATTTTTAATAGGGATGCATACGTTTGTGAAAAGGGCTAAAATATCTCTTTTGACAACTGGGTGGAAACCACCTGCATCATTATTAACAACAATGAATTTCAGCTGTTTTTGTCTGTTCTTGGCATACTTCATTCTACATTCAACAGTAAATAAGCCACCCCAATAAAAAATCAGTGGGGTGGGGGGATTGAGTACTATTTATGCTAACTCAAAACTTAATAACAAAAGGTTTATAGAACTATTAGTGAAAAAAGATTCTTTGTTAAAAACAACATAACAAAAATGAAATTTCCTGAATGCATATCACTGAGAGGACTAATGCTTCATAAATGGTTTAATTATAATTTGGTCCCTACATTGGACATTATTTTTCAATTTAGTCCCTACATGAAAAAACTTGCATTGTGGTCCTTGTATGAAAAATCATTTACAGATCAGTCTTACTGTTAAATTAGATCCTTATACTTGACACAGTTTTTTACTTTTAATTCCTATATGTGCACTTCATTTTGGTCCCTCCATTAAAAAATTCTACATTTAAGCCCTACACATGACATATCTTTTTCCATTTTGGACCCTGCATGAAAAATAAACTAACATTTTTATAACTACAATAAACGGTGGGGACCAACAATTTGTAAAATGTTTTTCATATAAGAACCAAAATGTAGATCTTTTCATATAGGAAGTAATATTACAATTAAACCTTCATAAATTTACATTTAAATATATTAAACATAACATACTAGTAAAGGATGCATTGTGCCCATGAAAACAAAAGCATATTTGGATACTACTTCATCTACAAAATTTAGCTGTTTGTATCTTATGGACAATATCACATACAATAGTCTCAAACTTACCGAGACACTAGGGTCTAGTTGGGTCGTTACAGAAGGGGAAGCAGAACTGTGTGGCAGCAAGCCAGTAGCTGTTGTAGGTGGCAAGCTTGTGGATGCTGGAAGACCTCTCGAAAACTCATCCTTCACAGTTCCTTGACTAGTACCACCCTGTTCAATCTGTGGAGAATTAACAGAAGCCATCCCTTGCAGTTTAGACAAATTATGCCTATGTTGCTGCTCAGTAGACAAGTCACTAGGTTCCTTTTTAACATAAGAACCAGATGACAACAATCCCAGATTTTGTTCTTTTTTTGTTGATGGTTGCCAAGCATTTGTAGTTTGTTGAGATGCAGTATTGTTAACAGCAGAAGACACAGATCCACCCGGCAGTCTCTTCAGATCATTGAAAGAATTCTGCTGTTCAAGTTTTGGCATACCAATTACATTCAAACCCTGCGTTGCCCCACCTAAGTGATTTGAACCAATACTTTGATGTGGAAATTGACTCATATGTGAATCATGAAGATGTGGTCTCATAGATGAAGTGGAAATACTAGTTGTCCCAGAAAAAGGGTAATAGTTACCACTACTATTTCCATATGCTGATGAAAAATGTAGATGTTGTTGCTGTTGTTTATTAAGCCCTTGTATGTGAACTGATGATCTTTCTGTTTCTTGACCAACAACATTAGAACTGGAAGATGACAATTGGCTTGGTTGCAATCCTTGAGATTCTATTTTAACATCAAATTCCTGAGATTTTCTAGTACTGCTCTCCATGGTTTGGCCAGCTAAAGAAGTGATACGGGATTGGTCAACAGCAGCATTCATACTTCTCTGATGCATCTGCGCTAAAGCATGGGGATCATTCAATTGTCTTGAACCTGAACTAAAAGTTGGCATCCTTACAGGGTGTCGCTGCCCAGCAGGCAAGGGATTGGGCCTTGTCTATCATAGTAGAAAAAGATCAACCTTAGCATGTTCTCTTCCTAAGTTCCTAACTGGCTTATTAAAAAGATCCACAACACAAACCATGTTCTCTTCCTACCTGTGATTGCATTTGCACTTCTGCCAATGCTAATCTAAGCATCTGGTCCCCTACGATACCTTTCACAAGTCGCACAAAACTGTCTTTTGGTATTTCATATTTCTAGAAAAAGAACAATAAAAATGACAACGCAATATTAGTAATAGTAGCATAAGATATATGTTCATAAGCTGGTCCTAGTCTGTCACCACCCACCTTAAACTTATCAAATAAGGTTTCAAGCTGCATGGCCCTGTCTTTGGCAAGTTGAGGAGTCAAGATGCGTAGCAACTGGGCAAAGTGTACCCCTTTACTATGATTTATTTGGCTACTTGGCTGCTCAGTGACTGTAGCTTGTTGATTACTTATCTGCTGCAACTTCGCATACTGAGATTCACTGCTGGGATTATGAGTTTTGACTACCTCATTATTAAGGACAGGATCTTTTCCGGAATTCTGAATTCCAATAGCGTGAGAATTTGGGGGGCAAACTTGTGCAGCTGGTGCTTGACGACATTCATCTTGAGATTGTTTCTGTGACAAACGAGGATTATTTACATCCTGAGAAGAAACATGTTGCTTCCGCTCCATCTCAGATGAAGGTTGCTCTTGCTGTTGTGTAGTTTTAGATTCTTGATTTTGAATATCTGTTCGGCTGTCATGGCTAGAAGTAGGCCACTGTGGTAAAGATTGACTTGATGTATTATTGCTCCCTTGAGACAAAACTGTAGCAAGTATAGCAGCATAAAGCATGAGCACTTGAGATTTGAGAAATCACAAAGCAAATATTTCACATGACTGGTGAGCATTACTCCCTATTTTCTTTTTCTGTTGTTCCTGCTTCCATGAGTGTAAGAGATTCCCAACAGTGATTCTGTTCCTTATATGAAGCACTCTTATAATAGACCATGTGCAAAATATGGGTAAGGGAGGACTTATTTAGGCTATAAGAAACTTGCCTATCCAGCAACAAACATGAGAAGCAATGCGACTATAAAGACTATCCATCCTTTCTGAAGAAATTCAAGATCCTGTATTGATAATTGGGGAATTGTCCCTTTTATCTATTGTCCAGTATTTCATCTAAGGACTTATTCTAGAGGAATAAGTTTACATCAGACTCTACTTTGAGTCCTTACTTATTTAACATAGTCTTAGGTGTATTTATGAGTGATATATATAAAAATTATCCCTAAGTGCATGTTATTTGCAAATAATATAATCCTAGTTGAGAAAATAAAAGTAGTTAACTTTAAACTTGAGCTATGGAGGCATATTTTGGAATCTAAAGATTTTCGTTTGAGTATAAATAAAACAGAATATATGCATAGCAATTTTAGCAAAAGAAAAAACCAAGAGAAGGGTCACGTATTGGGAGTTAAAATTGGAAATGACATATTACCACAAGTCTTCAAGTTTAGATACTAGTGATTGAATTTACAGAATGATAAAAAAAACTTATGAATATGTTATTGATAAAATACAAGTTGGGTGATTAAAATAAAGAAAGATATCAAGAGTTATTTTTTATCGTAATATAGTAAAAGAACCAATCAAACTTAAAGAAAAGTTTTATTATACTGTTATACAACTAATTATCTTATATAATAGTGAATGTTAGGTTTTAAATGAACATAAGGTAAAAAGTAAGAGTAGCAAAAATAAGATGTTAAAATGAATAAATAATCACACGAAAAAAGACAAATAATTAGAGTAACACCTATAATAAAAAGGATTATAGAAAATTGATTAAGGTGTTTTAAACATATGCAAAGAAAATCACTGAAGACACCAGTTAAGAGAATGAATGACATAAATTTTAGTTTAATGAAAATGAATGAAAGAAGAACCAAAAGAACTTTTGAAGAAATTATTAAAAGATATATTGTGATCAATAATATATCAAAGAATTTGGCTTTTGATTGAATTCAACAGTGTCATGTGATTTACATAGTCAACTTCACTTAGTAGGATAAAATTTAATTGTTGTTATTATTGTATCTGTGGTCAAGTATTTGGACTCCAATCAATTGGTATTAGTGCTTTAGATCAGAGTGCAGTGCAGACTGAAAGGAGGATATCAAGAAGAGATTTAGGAAAAGCAATGATAATTGGTAATAAGGAATATATAAACTCAGAAGATGAGGGCAATGTGAGAAACAGGAAGAATGCAGATTTAGGCTGCAACCAACCTCCTATCTTATGTATTAAAGATTACATAAAGCAAGTGAGAAAATGGTTAGAAGGAATGAAATGGGAAGAGGAGTGGCATCCACAAATTTGAGGTATTGGTAGGGAGGGGTTAGCCAGGTAGGTACCTAACTAGCCTACAGCTGTGTTTTTCTTTTCCTGTTTAAGAGTGATCTATACACTATACACTATATTCCTTCTGTTATGAAGTCGATTTATAGCCTGTAACTCTATTTTCATTTTCCTGCTTGAGAAAGATCTATTTATCACATTCACCCTGCTTATGATGTCATTTAATTTCACTAACAGAGAGTAATTTTCAGTTCTAATTATCAGTTCTAGCAACAATGTTGGCAAGAAAATTAACAGTCCACAATAGCTCAAGAAATCTAATCACAGATATTTTGTTGTGGAAAGGACATCATGATAATTTCATATTGAAATTAGAAATTATTTTAGTTCATATATTTAATAGCAGAACATCTCTTCAACCTTCGTAACTGCTACTGGTCAAATATCATTCAAAGAAACAAAGAATAAGCGGGAAAATCAACTTGAGACATTGTTAATTAACTTTTTCATCAACAACCAAAATGCTTCAGCGTTCAAACATCGAGATCAGACAAAGTTTCTAAAGATCATTTATTTTTTACGTAACTCAACATTGGTTGAAGAAGCAGTGAATTTGAATAGATTAATAAAAAATAACAACAAAGAAATCAAACAATACTGGAATGAGAGAGAGAGAGAGGGTATAGAACAGAAATAATGAATAAAAGTGAGAGACACCTGTGTCAGAACCAGAAAGCTGAGAAGCAGATAAATCTCCTCCTATATCTCTGTTTAAGGCAGCCTGGAAGGCTTCCACATCCACCCCTGAGTGCATTGTTTCATCCTGCGTAAATTCAAACATAAGCTAAGCCCCAATTCAGTAAAACCAATTTTTTTTTCCTGAAAGAAAATGATGAAAGAAGACAGGAGTAAACCTCGTCATCTTCTAGAAGCTTCACAATAGACGGGTCCATTACAATTTCACCGCACTTGTTATCTTGCTTGCTCTATTTAACGAAAATGAGATCCTAAATTTTCTTTACACCATATCTTAGCTGGTAAGCAGAAGAACTGAAATGGTGACTCCACCATATGCATTCAGCTACAAGCATTTTGACCACGTGTTCAACCAAACCATTTACAACCAAATAATAGAATTCAACCAATTCCACTTTAAAATCAAGGGATTCCATAATGTCATGTTAGGGTGGTGACTAGGGTCAATTCACAAGCTTGTAAGCATGTTAAACATATACATAAAAAAAATACACGTTAATTCATCAAACACATGGAGTACGAGACCTAGCAAGTATTGGTATATTACTACGCAAAAAAGTTTATGATCATTGTTTCAGGCTACGTATAAATCGAATCCGAGAAAGAACGACAATCGTATAGTTTTATGAGTATGATTAACTATGCATTTAAAAATTACGGACCAAAATCATATTTTAAAGATTTACAGTTTGGAATTCTTATTGGGACACAGAAAATTAAGAAGAAATATGAATGAAATAGGTTGAGTAACGCAACGGACCCAAACAAGAGAGAGTAATAGGTGGTGTTGAGGTTTGAAGAGCAAGCATACAGGAACTACAACAATGTCCAATCTCAATATTTTTCCGAACACGATTCCAGGACAAAACACAAGGGATGATCAAGAGAGTTTCGTTTTTGGACGGAAAGAATGTCCCTCAAAAAACATGAGAAAAATCAAATCAAGGTTTTTTCTTTCTCTATTTTTGTTAAGTTGGTTTCTCATTCTTCTTCATTTTTTTATTTTTTCTAAGACAAAATATATGTAATAAACAATGAGATTCTATTTAGGCCTTTCTCATTGGGCTTGTTATTTGCTTAGCTCCCATTTTTATAACCTGCCTTATTTATTAGCCCTTTGACAGTGAGTGCGGTGTATTGTTGGGCTATTCTTTTGGGTCTTTGTTGGCCCGCAGTTGGGTGTTTGCAACAAAAATTAAATTGGAAAAAAAGAAGGGATCAGCCCGTTCAGTGCATCAATTTTACAATGCTCCAAATAATGTTGCCCCAGCGTTGTAGGATGAGTTTGGATCTAATTGTTCTCGAAGAGATATAAAGTGAGAAAATAAATGTTTATTTAATTTTTATTTAAAATTTAATAATATGTAATAAATGTTTAGATTTATATTAACCGTAAATGTATGTTTAGTTTTTTATTAAACTTAGTTTGAATAATCGATTTAATTAAGTATTTATTTAATATTTTTAAAATAATAATTTATATAATAAAGTGAGTTATAAAACCTGTTGAGATAAATTAAAAATAATTTGTTTTGATAAAGTATATATTAAGTTGCTTATTGAAATAAGTTTAAAATAGTGGTAAGTTATTTATAAGTTTTAATTTAATTTATAATCTTGAGTTTGAATGTTCATGAATACAACTCAATTAAATATTTTAAAAAATTGTCGATTGTTTTCAATTAAAAAAAATATCAATAGTTTAAATAAAAATAAAAATAAACTCGAGCAGCTTTTTTATGATTTTAATTTTTTTTAGTAGATCCTTTGTAAATTTTATGACTTTTTCTTTAGTCCAAAATAATATATAATCGATAATCAATAATCAAAATAATAAAACAATATTGCTTGGACCGATTATTAATATATTAGTAATCATGAACTGATATATTGATAAAAATTATTAAATTTTATAATAATCAATATATTTTTTATTAATTTTAAAAATATAATGTAATTTTTATATTTTAATTATAATCCTTCATAATAAACTCTAACGGTTAACGTATATTCTCGTATTTTTACATTAAGCAGTATTCTCTTTTATATAATTGAGAATACTTTTATATTAATATAAACTGTGTAACCAAAAAAATAATTGTTGATATAGATTTTGAAACTTTATGATAATAAACAATATATTATACTAATATTTAATGTCTTTACAATATATATTAATATTTTTATTATCAAGATTATTTATTGACATAATATATCATATTATTAATATAAATTATAATATTTATATTAACATTTAAGTTTCGTGAAAAATAAATTATCTAATAAAGGTCAATGTAATGCTGAAGTGTTAGTAAATGATATTTTTCCTATTGCCTGTAGTCTCTACGGCTTTACCTAACATTCTTTTTTCATGTTTCCAATGAAATTATTTAACATATATATGAATGGTTTGATTTATTGTTGGTTCTTCGTTTTCATCTTAAATTAAATTTTAAATTCAAATAAAAATGATGATGCCGTGAACACTGAAATTCTCAGAATTAAGACACAAAGGCAACTTGTTATCCTTCTTTTCTTTTTGCAACTTTTTGAAGAATAATTGTAATAAAGATAAAACTTAAGTATAGTTTGTTTAAGTATTATTGATATTATACATCAATCAAAATTAGAGTTTTAAATAATAATTTATGATAACATTAAATATAATTCTTTTATTCAAACAAAACTCTAAATTTAATTGATAAAAAAAAAAAAAACCTTACAAAAAAGTCCATTATTGTGCCCTTCTAACAATGCCCTTTCCGTGTCGTTGTTCAGTTAATTCTTCTACTGCGCCATCCTTCCTCTGATGCTTTATTTTCTTGTTTCTTACGCAATGCTATCCTCAATTTTGATTCTAGAAATTTGTGTCTATAATGCATGTATCCTTCTATAATACACATGTCTTTAAGAAATTGAGTTAGATCAAGAAATTGTAGAAAACTAGCTTCAATTTTTATTTATGTCCTTAGTTTTAAATGCATGGAATTCTTATCACATATTCATAGGATACTAAGGCATGAAATCAAACAAAAGTTTAATCCCTTGAAGTTGAGGTACACTGCTTTATACATCATTAAAATTTTTGGTCATGTTATAAAGTGGGAATCAAATCAAGTATGAATTGAGTCTCACATAAAATGAGATATGAACAAATCATGTACTCATTACCTCAAAGTTTTGGAGTTACATTATAATGTCCTACTCATTGTAAGGCTCCTTACTTAAATATAAAAGTCATTTCTAAGAAAGATAAGTGTAAATATATTAATTCATTTATAAAAATAAGTTTTCAACACAACTTTATTTTGTTATTATCTATGAAAATGAAAAGAAACTTTTTTGTTTTTTTTTTTTTTAAATATGAAAACAAACTTTACTATCCTTACCGTATATTGACTTTTATTATCTCGCAACCCACATTACTCTCGCACTATTGTTCTAAGCCTTTGCAAGCAAATGCATAAAATGGATAATTTGCGAACGGAAGAAATTGGAGTTAATGAAGAAAGAATAAAGGAATCTCAATTCATAAAACAAGTCTCTATCAATACTTGGTGACATTATTCCACCCCCTCTGCATTCAAGTCAATTCACATACCTTACATGTGTTTTTGTTTCATCTTTCATCTCTAACATCCTTTGAGTGTTATGGTTATTTGTATCATGAATACTTTTTTTTTTTACTGTATGTTGAGATAGGAACTCAAAGCTCATTCATGTACTCCAAAGTTGCTTAAGTGAGTAATTGTTTCATAACATTATGGTATTTTGAAATACTCTTTTATGATTATTTTTTTTAATTTAAATTGAGAGATTAAAGTGTAAGATAAAACTTAAGAATTAGTGATATTGTTTACTTATTAAATTTAGAGTTTTATCTGGACTATATTTGGATTTCATATTTAAGAGGAGAGGTAAAAAAAACACAAGGTAAGGAAGGAAATATTTAGAGACAAAAGGGTGAAATGATTTTCCCGTATTGAATGAATAAAGAACGGAGGTATATATACAACCTATGAAAGAAAAGAAGACAAAAGGAAATAACAGAAATGATACGCCTCAGCAAATTTTAGATCCTAGTTACAGAATACAATCATGAATAAAAACAAAATAGAGAGAAAAACAAAAGCCTTTGCAGCTATACAAAAAATAAGGATGAGATAGTATAATAGGTTTTGGGATTAATGGTAATCTTCTATTTAATTGTGATTTTATTCTTCTTTTAACCCCCACAAGCTGGAGGTTCAAAGATATCATGAAGTTCAAGCTTGAAAAGATTTGACTAAAATAGTTTTAGGGGAAGCACCTTAATGAACATATCTACGAGCTGGTGGGAAGAGGAAATCAAAAGGAGGTTCATCAGTCCAGAAAGAAGGTTTTCTCGAACTAGATGGCAATTAATTTCCAAGTGTTTAGTCCGCTCATGAAACACTGGATTTGCAACAATGTGTAAAGTGCACTTTGACTATCACAGTATAATGCAACATGTTTTGAATGAGGAACTCGTAAGTCTCGAAGTAAGTAAAACAACCATTGAAGTTTGCAAGTGGCTAAAGCGAGTGCTCTATATTTAGCCTCTGCATATGATCTAGAGACTGTAGATTGCTTCTTTGTTTTCCATAAAACCAGAGAACTACCAATGAAGAAGCGATATCCAATGATAGATTGGCAGGTGTCAACATAGGTGGCCCAGTTACATCACTAAAACCAGACAGTTGGAAGGAAGAATTTATTCTGAAGAATAATCCCGTCCCAGGAGTAGCCTTCAAATATCGAATAACTCTCAAAGTAGCTTGAAAAAGAGATTGAGCGTGAGTAACCATGAATTAACTGAGTTTTTGGGTTACAAAAATGATTTCTATATGAGTACTGGTTAGGTATATCAAACATCCAACTAACCATCTATATGATAAGGGATCAGCAAGAGCTTCACTAGAATCATGATGGAGGTGAAGAGAGGTGTCCATTGGTGTGGAACATGGCTTGGAGCTTAGAAGGCCTGCATTTTTAATCAAGTCTAAGCAATACTTTCTTTGATACAATGAAATACCAAATGATGAATGAGCAACCTCAATCCCTAAGAAATATTTTAGTTTGTCTGGGTCCCTTATATGAAAAGTGGAACTCTAAAGGTGTTTGACTCTATCAATTTTAGCAATTGAGTTACCAACCAAAACGATATCATCAACATAAATGATCAAGGCAGTGATAGTATAACCTGTTACCTTAGTGAAAAGGTTGTGATCAACGTGAGCCTACTTGAATTTATCATGCTTCAACAGATTGGATAGCTACACGAACCATTAGCAGGTGGCTTGTTTTAAGCCATAGAGTGACCATTTCAGTTTGCAACATTGAGATGGATGATAGCCATGGACACCCTGAGGAATGATCATTACACACCCTCTGGGAGATTCTCATATAGGAAAGCATTGCTAACATCGAGTTGTTGCAAATGCCAATGATTAATGGAAGCTATCGCTAAAACAACACGAATCGTGCTCATCTTGACTACAGGAGAGAAGATTTTGAGGTAATCAATGCCATTGATTTGAGGGTAGCCTTTAGCCACCAAACGTGCCTTATAGCGCTCAATTGATCGATCTGGACTACGCTTAATCTTATATGTCCACTTACAACCGATCAACCTCACATTTGACGACGTTTGGACAATGTCCCATGTCTGATTACAAACCAAAGCTTGAATCTCGAATTTCATGGCCTCCTGCCAACAACGGTGCTTTGCGGCTTCGCAAAAAGTGGTGGGTTCTCGCTCAGAAGATAGACTCATCAAAAAACGAGTGTGAGAAGGAGATATACGTGAATAATTAACAATAGCTTAGACAGGATATGATAACCTTGGAGAAGATTGGTTTGATTACGCTGAACCATGCATTGGAACGCTAGGGCACGCGTTGCACTTGTAGCCATCAAGGTAAGTCGGACGATGGTGAGGGTGATTTAAGCGGCAGGTGGGTTAGGGTTTTGAT